AGGTCATTATTTTAAATGTTTTTTCTTTTATCGAACAAGATAAGATAAGCTTACTTAGGTCATTATTTTAAATGTTTTTTCTTTTATCGAACAAGATAAGGTAAGCTTACTTAGGTCATTTTTTTTATCGAACAAGATAAGGTAAGCCTACTTAGGTCATTTTGTACTCAATCGCTTTATGTTTCATTTCACTGTCAAACACACTGGTTGTTAGACTGTGTTTCATAAATTTCAGAAAATTTGAAATGGACGAAAAGGAGCTTATTAGCTCAACAAGGATGTTCTTTCCAGCTCCCAACTATAACCACCCCTTACTACTCATGTATTCATCCAATCTTTTCTTGAACTCAGTTATCTTTTCTGCCTCCACTACCCTTTAAGGTAGGTCATTCCAAAAGCCAACCATCCTGTTTGAAAAGTAATACTGCCTAAACTGCAGACGACTCAAACGATGAGAAATTTGAATTTATGACCTCTTATCCTATTGTTTTCACTGCTAAACTCAAAAACGTTTGATGGATCTATATTATCAATACCCTTAATAATCTTAAACACTTCAATCAAATCCCCCCCCTGACCCTACTCCTCTCCAGAAAAAACAAGCTTAGAGATTTTAGTCTTTCCTCATAGGACAATCCTACCATCCCAGATAGTGACAAGTGGCTCTTCTCTGAACCTTCTCCAACAATTGAATGTCCTTCTTGAGGAAGTGAGCCCAAAACTGTACACAGTACTCTAAATGAGGCTTTAAAAGTGATCTGTATAGTGAAACAATAATCTCCCTTGTCTTGTGTTAAATATTTCTACAGATGCTACCAAAAGTTATAATTTTCCTATACTGAAAATTGATTTCCAATAGGTACTTCCCTTCAGTCTCAAGATTAGCTATTCTTGTCCAGTGTTGCCCTTTATATGCAAATATTTTTCTTTATGCATGCCACAAGCCTTCTGCTCCCCCCCCCTATTGAAATCAAATGATTCCAACATGTCTCTCGTGTAAATCATCATGCATCACTTTTCCACCAATAGGAGCGTGGCATGCTCATGTAATGCATGTGACTCCCTCTATATGCCTCTACTGAACTATCACTTCGAGTTTGGCAGAACCGGAGAAAAGTGTGGAGGAAGGGTGGGGAGTGTGAGAAGAGGGAAGTGCCCATTAGAAATATATTTTCAGTATAGGAAAATTATAACTTCCGATATTGTACTTCCCTCTGCTCACAAGATTAGCTAAAATCCCACATTGATAAGGTGGTTGGACCAGTGTGAGGGAATAACAGAAGTACCCCCTGTATGCATCAAAAGGATACCCCTGGAAATGAGAGAGAGAGTCAGATCCAAAGATCTCATGAGGGGGATGGCACCACTTCTGAACTAGGTATACTTTCGCCCATCCGTGAAATGTGTTATAGATAAGGGCAGAAAAGGACAGGAACACATCCAAGTGGAAGAGAACAGTGGCAAGATAGTGATCCTAACCATGTAAATATATATGTAACTCAATCCCACAAAGTATAAAAGTGGGTAAAACAATAGATGTGCCCTAGGTGTAGAGTGGCTAGGGCACGACAGACCGTACTCAGTAAGTCAACTACATCCAAAACCCTAGAGTGGCTAGAGCACAATGGACCGTACTCAGTAAGTCAACTACATCCAAAACCCTAGAATGGCTAGGGCACAATGGACCGTACTCAGTAAGTCAACTACATCCAAAACCCTAGAGTGGCTAGGGCACAATGGACCGTACTCAGTAAATCAACTACATCCAAAACCCTAGAGTGGCTAGGGCACAATGGATACCCGAAGATAAGGAGAAGAAACCATGATATGGTGTAAATAATGGGAGACAAACATATTAGGTGTAGTCCACATGCCCGACTGTAGGATTTCCTCCAATGGCCGACGAAGACAAGATGCGATGGTAAAGGTGAGGTGTTGCATCTGACAAGAAGATACCCGAAGATAAGGAGAAATAAGCCAATTAAATCAAAAGTTGAACCCAATTGTTTAGGGTAGAAGGGGAAAGATCCTGAACAGAGGAACACTGCCATTTTGATGATGACAAAACCTTGTCGAAACGTTGTACATTTGCTGTTATGTTAAACTTATATTAAAGTTTTTGTTCATTACCCATTCAAGCCATATCCAGCCATTATTAGTCTCAAAGTGGGTTCCTCGTCATCGAATTTAGATTCACATTTGTTTTAAATCAAAATGATTCTTCTAGTTTCTGATTTAAATGCTTCTCTTAATAACATATAAAAAAAATATTTGTTCGAAAACTTCATATCAAAAATAAAACTCAAAAGGAATAAAATATTTTAAAAATTTTATATTTTAACCCCCAAAACTCACTTCTTGGTTTATTTAGTAGCCACATCTAATATAATTCTTCACAAAAGAAAGTAAATACTGGAAAATTAAATATTACATTGATTGTAGACCAATGTTTTAAACGCTTAAGTTACAAGAGAACAATGCATATCCAATTCTTACTTCCAAAATCAACAAGAAATAATTTTGCCCAAAGAATTATTTTTCCTTCATCCTTTCAAGAGTATTATTAGTAGTCCCATTTTGTTTTTGCTTACTTAGAACTATTTATTTATATATATATATATATATATATACATATATCACTACAATTTTTATAGGATTTAAATTACATTTAGGCTATCTGCTTTGACATTCAATCTTTCAAGAAATATATCCACTAATCTAACCTTACACTAATGCCAGCATCTCTTTCAGCCTGTGCTACTCCAATATTTGCATCTCGTTTTACATCAGCAGTTCGAGCTCGGCCCAGAGAAGCGAGATATTCAACGTTATCAATCACATCCTTAATGGTAAAGCTGAGAATCTCTATTCCCATCCGACCAACATCGGGTGATGCAACTTCTCGTACCAAGGATGCAAATTGGTCTCTGTCCTTGACTATCTCTTCTACAGTTAAGGTTCCTTCAGAGATAAGGGTGAAAATAAGGTAATTAAAAGTACTTTACTTCAGCAACTTTTACGAAACAGACAACTGGTTTTGAAAAAGAATTTATTATCCATTTTCACAAAAGCTATAAAGATACAAATGCAAGTCGTTTAAAGAAAATATAGTTATATATGCGTATATTATCTTATAACATTCCAAAAAAAACACTATTTTACATATTAGGACAAGTGATTTTAATTTCATTAAAAAAAATTATGTGACAGAATTTTCATACAAAAATTGGTGAAGAGCCCAATATTGTGAAAACTCGGGTGGAATTTTAAAAAATAGACTTCAATAACCACAAACTGTAAAAGTTTAGAAAAAGGCTACCAGCACAAAATATCAAATTCTAATTGAAACCACAAACTGATACTGTTTCATAACATATTGTACAGAATTGTTTCTTTAAACATTAAATATTCTAAGACGATACTCTACACAAGTTCAATTACACAACATTTGTATTATCCTTCTTCTTTCTTAACCCTAATTATTTGTGTACTTTGTAAAACAATACAGTCGTTTAATTTGTTTTGGATCTTTTGGAAATGTTTGTTAGTTTCAAAGGACGAATCACGTGTATCAATGTGTTGTTTGTGTTATGCTAACACGTCATCTACAAAGAACTAGGAATGGAGGCCATATTTCGATACAGATTAGAAAAACAACACCTTGATGAACAAACTCTTTGTTGGTGTCTAATTCTTAATCATTTGTACCTTTTATTTTTTTATAAATATTACATTTTGAAAATATCTACTAGAATACATTTAAAAACATTTTTTATGGTCTCAGGACAGCTATGCCTGTGTTAAGTTATCTGAAGAGATATTAAATTTGACATAGAATGTTACTTCTCACAAAAATTCTAAACATTATACATTCTGATCCTTTAAAAAGTACAGAAAAACTTCTGATCTATTAGTGTTAGGGAGACATAAACAACACTTAATTTGTTTGTTTTGAATTTCCTGCAAAACTACACAAGGCTATCTGCACTAGCTGTCCCTAATTTAGCAATGAAAGACTAGAGGGAAGGAAGTTAATCATTCCCACTCACTGCCAACTCTTGAGCTACTCTTTAACCAACAAACAGTAGGATTGATCGTCACACTATAATGTCCCCACGGCTGAAAGGGCAAGCATATTTGGTGGGACAGGGATTTGAACCCATGACCCTCAGATTGGGAGTCAAGTTCCATAACCACCTGGCCATGATGGACCATTTAACAACACTTGAAAAGACAAAACAAACAGGTTTGTGGAAAAAATTAACACAAGAAAATCAATAAAACTGGTTTGTTCAAAACAAATAAAGTATTTAAAATTCAACTTCATTTTCACAAAAATTCAATCTAGAATATCACCCCAAGTTTAGTTCCTGTTTTAAGTTTTTTTTATTTTCTTATAAGTTGTTTCCACCCACCAGCAATAGTTTGCATTTCATAAGTCTGATCTTTAACTACATTTAAGTCCAGTATATAGTGTTTAATATCATACAAAAGAAACTACAGGAAGATGTCTAATTTAGTATCATATTTCATACTGATTTTTATACAAAAGATACAAGAACGTATTTCACGAACATAAGAACTATACAACAGATATTTAATTTGGTATTATATTTCAAATTGATTTCAGTTCAGTCACTCAGTTGGTCATATTTGAAACTTCCTGTTCTTTTTAAACAAAAACCTTTGGCAAAGAGGACATTGTTATACAAGTTTATTACCTCAGTTTTTCATTTGGAACCAGCTCAACAAAGATAAAACAAGTAAAACAGAAACTCCACAAAATATTTATTCAGCGAAATACTTTTCACTATCAATAAATATTCTTACTCTTTTTTTTATTCAATTGTTGATAGAGCTAACAGTTTTACTCAATATACTAATGTACTGATAACCATAATGACAAACCTAAGATAGCACGTAAGTGTCCCTCCAAAGTTTGCACTATGACACTCTTAATTTAATCTACAGTTAACTGTTTTACTCAATATACTAATGTACTGATAACCATAATGACAAACCTAAGATAGCACATAAGTGTCCCTCCAAAGTTTGCACTATGACACTCTTAATTTAATCTACAGTTAACTG